CTAAAGGAACTGAATCTCCAACACAATAGCTTCACTTAGTCCAATCTCCAAGCTGAACCTATTTGCTCAAAACTAGACAGGTTCTTGTTCACCAGAGTTACTTCCGACCAGAGAGATTTGGTGTCATGGACCTTACCCAGAGTTACTTCCGACCATTGGCCAATAATGATTTGTAAGTCTGATTTTGGTGGTAGTGGACCCTCCCCCTTTAGGTTTGAAAACATGTGGTTACTTCACTCGGACTTCAAAAACAAGGTGAAAAGTTGGTGGAATGAAAGTAACCCAAAAGTTAATTGGGCAGGGATGAAATTCCATTGGAAGCTAAAAGAATTGAAAGTCAAAATTAAGGAATGGAATATTCTCCACTTTGGTAGGTTAGATGAGAGGAAGCAACAATTGATAAACCAGATAGAGGAGTTAGATGCTAAGGAAGAAAGGGGTTGTTTTGGGGAAAGTGATAAAGAACAGAGGTGGGAGTTAAGGAAGAGCCCGGAGGACATAATTTTCCAAGAGATCAGTTGGAGGCAGAAATCTAGACATAAATGGGTGAAGGAAGGAGATAGGAACACAAAATGTTTCCATGCAATTGCCAATAGCAGAAGAAAGAAAAACAGCATATTTAAGTTGGTAGTTGATGGGACATTTTGACTCAACAGCAAGATTGCCGAGGCTTTTGTGGAGCACTTTAAATCCATCTTCAGTAAGCTTCTGTTTAAGAGATTAAGGATTGATGGATTTGGATTGGCCTAAGCTCCCTGATGAGTTGATTGTGTGGTTGGAAAGAGAGTTTGACCTGGAAGAAATTAGGGATGCCATTTTTTCCATGGATAGATCTAAAGCTCTGGGCCCGGATGGTTTCACGTTGGCTTTTTATCAGTATTGTTGGGAGATAATTAAGGATGATATTCAAGCTGTGTTCTCTGAATTCTTTGAAAGAGGTGTGGTAAACCCGAACTTGAACTCTACTTTTATAGCTTTAATTCCGACCCATCAGTTTGATTAATAACCTCTACAAGATTATTGCTAAGGTGCTTTCTAGAAGAATTAGAGAGGTGCTCCCCTCAATTATTTCCCACAATCAAGGTGCTTTTGTGATGAATCGACAAATTGTGGACCAAATCTTGATTGCTAATGAGAGCGTGGAAGACTATAGAAGTAGAGGTGAGAAGGGGTTGGTGTGTAAGCTAGATTTGGAGAAGGCATATGACATGGCGAATTGGTCTTTTGCTATTGGAGGTTTTAGAGTCTTTCGGATTTGGGAAGAGATGGTGCAAGTGGATAATAGGGTGCATTTGGACTTGTCATTATTCTGTGTTAGTGAATGGCAGGGTGGTGGATCACTTTCCAGCTGTTCGGGGTATTAGGCATGGGGGCCCTCTATCCCCCTTCCTCTTTACCCTAATTTCTTAAGTGTTAGGGAGGCTGATTGAGAGGGCAGATTCAAGGAGCTTGATTAGTGGATGGAGAGTGGAGAGGGATAGGGTTCCAGTCACTCACCTACAATTTGCAGACGACACAATTCTGTTTTGTGATGGAGAGGAGATTAGTTGGGTGAGAAACTTGAAGAAGGTGATTAAGGTGTTTGAACTAATGGCCAACCTCAAAGTTGACCTTTGTAAGAACTGTGTGATTGGTATTAATATGAGCAAGGGAGAGGTGTGGAGGAAAGGGCTCGAGTGCTAGGTTGTGAGATAACTCATTGGCCACTGAAATATCTAGGGCTTCCTTTAGGAGATAATCCTAGAAAAAGGAGTTTTTGGAATTCGATGATTGATAGATTCACTAAAAGGCTAGCTTCCTGGAAGAAGAATTACTTGTCTCTGGGGGGGTTGGATTACACTGATTAAGTCAACATTGGCAAACCTTCCGGTCTATTGCATGTCTGTGTGCCTGATGGAGTTAGGTGGGATCTAGTGACAAGACCCAAAAGTGAAGGGGGTCTGGGGCTGGGAAACATCCAGAAGAAGAATGTAGCTCTTTTAGGGAAATGGTTATGGAGGTGGTCTAAAGAAAGGGAGAACTTGTGGGCCAAAATAATCCTAAGTATTCATGGGCAAGAGGTAACTGGCTAGGATCTGGGACTCTCATCTAGGGCTTCAAGAACTTCTCCGTGGAAGTGGATCCATGCCATCCTTTAATTTTTTCTTCCCTTCATTAGGTATGATCTTGGTTCTAGCTTGTCAGTTAATTTTTGGGAGCACATTTGGGTGGGGGATTCCCCCTTGAAAGAGCAGTTTCCCTCTTTGTTTGCTCTGTCTAGGTTTAAAAGTGAACTTGTAGCCACCTTTGCTACCGTGTCTAACTCTGCTATAGGTTGGAACCTGGGTTTTAGAAGGGCACTTAGAGATTCTGAATTGGAACCCATTTCGAATTTGCTTAAGATCCTGGATGAGGTAGTCCTTGAGCCTTCAATTGGGGGCTCCAGGGTATGGTCTCTTGTCCCTTCGGGTATCTTTTCTTGCTCCTCCTTTTTCAAAGCACTGACACAACCTAGTCCAGTTCCGGGGTTTTCTTTTCCAGTCCAGGAAATCTGGGGTAATCCAATCCCTCCTAGGGTAGGCGATTTTTGCTGGGAAGCATGCCTAGAAAAGTGTAACACTTGTGACCTACTTCAAAAGAAAAGGCCTAATTGGTGTTTATTCCTGCACTGGTGCATCTTATGTAAGAAGAACGGTGAAAGCTGTTATCACTTGTTTGTTTCTTGCCCTTTTGTCTCCGATATCTGGTGTTGGTTTTTTTCTTTATTTGGTTGCATGTGGACCTCCCCTTCTAATGTGCGAAGCTTGTTTAGCTCCACAACAGTGAGGGGATTAAAAAAGATAGGGAAAATATTGTGGAGTTGTGCTGCTGTTTGTTGGACGATTTGGGAAGAAAGAAATCAAAGAGTTTTTCATGATAAAGAAAAAAGTAAGGAAGCCATCATAGAACTTATTTATATTAGGGTGGCTCTTTGGGTCAAGCCTTTGAAGCTCTTTGAAGATTATTCAGTAGGAGACATCATTAGAAAGTGGGATGAAGTGGCTCGGTCAGCTCCCATGTTCACAGCTCTTAGACCTGTTTGGACTCCACCRGATCYRGGTTTCATCAAATTGAACTTCGATGGTAGCAGTGAAGGAAATCCAGGCCATTCTGGTATAGGCGGTATCTTCAGGGATGAGGAAGGTAGAATCATTGCTATGTTCTCAGGACCTATAGGCTGGGGGGACTCATTGAGAGCTGAAATCTTGGCAGCTCTAGAAGGATTTAAAAGAGCTAAACAACTGAATATTAGTAAGTTGTTGGTGGAAGGAGATTCTCAGTTGGCTATTAAATGGTTGCAGAAGGAAGTGTCCAGCTTGTGGAAGTTCTCTAATGAAAGAAAGAAAATTACTCAGTTAACTCAGAATATATATGTCTGTAAGGGTTCAATGGGCCAAGAGGTGCACTAACTCCATGGCTGATACCTTGGCCAAACAAGGGGTGGGAAGAACAAATCTTTTTTGGGCTTATATTGTAATATGTTTTTTCAGTTTGTTAGGGAGGGTTAAGTCTTTTTACCCCTCCCTCCTGGTTGTAATTTCTCTCTCTCTTTTTATAAAATTTCTGTTATTGATAAAAAAAATGTTACAGGCAATGTGCCAGCAATGCAGTTTTTGCAAATGTTTATAGACTATATGAGGATACCAACCTGATGTTCTCGTACCAGTCCTAAGAAAATGTTGACTGTGTAAGGAATGGCTGATGGGTTTCATTGGGATCAAGGGTTTGGATGTAGGATGGAGGCTAGATAATGCAAGGATGGTTGGTATGCTAGGAGTCTAGAACTTGGGATGAACAAAGATCAAAATATTGATATGGTATGCTCTGTTTCGGGCATACTATATCTGTATCCAAGGTCATGGATACACCGATATACACAGGGTTTGGGATTTTGAAAGTTTGGGATGATAGTAGGCATCCTTCTCAGGATGATGCACATTGATGCCCAATTTTTTGTATTGGTGCTTATCAATATTTTGATCCTTGGGGATGAAGGGTTAAAGATAAGATAGATGGTTTTAGGCTCAGATGTGATTCCAATACTCTTTTCCTAATTTATTTGCATTATGTCAGGAGAGGCTGCAGCTTGCGCCTCTCCAAGGGATCTTGTATGAGATTGTAAGCATGAATCAGTTTCTGTTTTAATAAAATTCCATTATTATTCTTAAGGGTTAAAGATAGATGTTGGGCTGAAAAATATAGCATTAGAATTCTATAACATACATGATAACACAAACAAAAAGAGTGAAGCAATAAAGAGTAACAGAAAAACAGATAGAGCTATTGGAGTCTGCACCAGTAGATAAGAGTTAGTGGTAGATGCTTAAGCCATGGTTACTATTTACTAATTTGGCCTAGTTGTGACATGCTTAAGCCATGGTTTTCGGGTGATTTGGGTTCAGATTGATGTAAGGCTGTAATAATTGATATTTGGAAGGAAAATCTATGATTTTAAGGGTTTAGGAAGGAGTGATGAAGATGTGCTGAAATTTGTATGTAAAATGGGTGTGGAAGGTCTCAAGGGCTGGAATGCAGAAAACATTGCAAAAAACACCATGTGGCATAAAAGCAAGATATATTAGGATGATCTGTATGGGTGGTTTGCTCTAGAGATGATTTTCAGATGTTCTGAGGAGTGAGGAAGCGCAATCCTTTTGACAGCAGAAAAGAGCACTGGCAATAGAAGAAAAAGAATAAAGATAGCCTAGAACTGAACGTGTCTTAGTTCTCCAGGCACCTAGACATTTACCCAAGGGTTTTGGTAGCATTATCATGCAACCAGGATATTTTTATGGCCAAAACACAAATCTTCATTTGTTGCCTCAATCCATATGCTTGGTTTGTTATTGAGTGAAATTGGTCCTCTTTAGTTCTCATCTAAAAATTCAGTTGACCTACTGTCTTGCAAGGCTGCAACGTTTTATGTTCTAGAGTAATCACAAATTGGGCTTGATTCTAATTTGTACTTTCATCTATTTCAGTAAAGGGTCAAAAAGTGGGGCATCTGGGAGGTGTTGTGGATGCCAAGGTACAGGCATGAAGATCACAACCCGGCAAATTGGACCAAGCATGATCCAGCAGATGCAACATGTCTGTCCAGAATGTAGAGGCTCAGGTATTCAATCTAATTTGCAGTTCATTAGCAGGTCTAAATTGTGGTCTTGGATGGGCTATTTGCATAAATTATAAAACATTTCTTGATGCAGGTGAAGTTATTAGCGAGAAAGACAAATGCCCACAATGCAAAGGCAACAAGGTTACTCAGGAGAAGAAGGTGCTAGAGGTCAATATTGAGAAAGGAATGCAGCATGGCCAGAAAATTGTCTTCCAAGGTGAAGCAGATGAAGCTGTACGTGCACTAAGCATCTATTTGGGCTTTAGCATTTCATATGAGGCCCTTGTGGTCTTTTTAGATGTTCACTTGTATTGACAATACCAATTATCCTGTTCCCTATTATTTGCAGCCTGATACAATTACAGGGGACATTGTTTTCGTCTTGCAACTAAAGGAGCACTCAAAGTTCAAGCGGAAGTTTGATGATCTCTATGTAGAGCACACCCTCAGTTTGACGGAGGCTCTCTGTGGATTCCAGTTTGCTTTGACACATCTTGATAGCAGACAGCTCCTAATCAAATCAAATCCTGGCGAGGTTATCAAGCCTGGTACCATACTGGGACCTTTCTTGTTGGTCTTTTTCCCTTGTTGCTTACATAGAAAATCAGTTTAGTCCCTGCTCATGTCATCATGCTAATCCAGGTCAATACAAGGCGATTAATGACGAGGGGATGCCTCACCACCAGAGGCCTTTCATGAAGGGCCGGCTGTATATCCAGTTCCACGTGGACTTTCCAGATTCTGCTGTTCTTTCCCCAGATGAGTGCCGCACCTTGGAGACAATCCTGCCCCCAAGAGCAAACAGTCATTTGTCAGGGATGGATCTTGACGATTGCGAGGAGACCACCTTGCATGATGTCAACGTCGACGAGGAAATGAGGAGGAAGCAACAACAGCAGCAGCAAGAGGCATACGATGAGGACGATGAGCCATCAATGCCTCGAGTACAGTGTGCCCAGCAATAAAAACTTTGCTTCAGTTTTGATCTTTGCTCGGTAGGAAGCCTGTTTCCACTCTGTTCGATCCTAGATAGAAAGCCTCTCGCTTTGTTGGTCTTGCTATACTAGTGTTTTATTTTATGTTAAGAGGCTTATTATTAGCATAGATCCATTTGCAAAATGATTCTGACTATGATAGGTGGGCCTCTTGTCTTATCCCGACTCTTACAAGTTATCAGTGCTTCAAGAAATTTGAAACCAGGTCGAGTAGGATTAATTTCATTGCATTTCATTGTGTTCTGTGGTATGAAGTTATCCGAAGCTGAAGTAATATTTAATGAATATTTGGATCGAGATAAGTTGCTTTTATGGATTAGAAGCTTTGAGCTCTTTAGCCGGACTTTAATGGCATGGACTTGTTCAGCCGTGCTCCTGATTCCGTCGTAACCGTTTTCTTTGCTGGTCGAGTACTGCAATAGTACTTCCATTAATCTACTGCATCAGGTAGGCTGTACCTACGCATGATCACCCATGTTTTTACGGGTTGTTTACTAAGTTTGCAATTTTGAGGGACTGAATTTCATAGTGCTTAATTCGAAGAAAGTGGAATAAGTTGAAGAAATTTACATTCTGCAAGTGATATTCTAGTTGGGGTTTGATTTGAATGTAGAAATGAGTAGTATCCATGGAAATCGTGAAAGTTTGGTCTATAGAAATGTCAAATAGTTTGTTGCTACCAGTGGTGCAATGATGTGGCATCATTTTGGATGTTGGATAATATAGAACAATATTGATAAGGGTTGTACACTGGTATCAAACAAAATCAATGCTGTTCTTAGCCTATGTGGCAGCATCAATGTCAAACAAAAAAAGGAGTCATTTTCTGAAAAAATGGTTCAACAAACCCTAATGTATATAGCACTTTGAAGCAATGCCAAATACCTATTTGTATGTATTTTTGGTTCGTGTGTTTATAATGCTTCTAATCCTATTAGATACTTACCAACAGTACCGCATGGTGCTGCTAAAGAATTTTGGACATTCGGAAGCTGCAGAGTGCAGACCAACTGACTGGTAGTACCAAATAGTTAAAATATTGATACGACACTGCACTACAGTATCCTCTGTTCTTTTGGGCCAAGGGGCATGATGACATACCAATTGACCAAGACTGACAAATTCTTATTTAAAATTTTAATTTTTATATTAAATTTATACTAAATTTATATTAAATTTTTATAGTACCAAATGGGTTTATCATTCATGACTTGAGTGTAGTTTGCATACAAAGGTAAATTATATAATTGGTTCACATGTGGTGTCTGGTGTGTATCGTATTGTCATTTTACACAAGCTGGTAAAAGGTGTGTTATGATATGTTCTGGTGGGGCATTCAAGAATGGTCGGTCAGGAGCCACGGTGGTAATTGTGACCACTAAAGCTGGGAATTTATAGCTGTTCCGACATTTGGGTTGGAGGTCGGAGGTGGAAGTGGTAGAGGCGTTTGGGTTAAGAGAAACTGTGTATTTGGCGAATAAGTAGGAAGTATTCAGAAGTCAGAACGTACAGGTTATCATGGGGGTAAGGTTCAAAATATCACAATGTATCATGTTTATTGTACGATATATCGGTTTTGGGTGTGATTATATCAGCACTAATGTATCAGATCCTATCAGAATTTTTAAATTAGGCATATTTAGGTGAGAATAATATTCGGGTGGGTGACCTCCTAGAAAGTCCTCATGTTGCATCCCAACTTATTTCTTATAAAAAAAAAAAAAGAAAACCACGCCTCTACTTATGGTGGGTGTTCAGCTTGGGCAGGATGGCCTTGGGTTTAAGGCCAACTCACGCCTAACCTTACAGGACATCAGGACTGGGCTGGTCCAATCTAAGGTCAATTCCCAAGTTTGATTACCCAAGTCAAACCTGAGCTAGACCCAACACAAGTTGCGCTTGGACTGGCCTTATATGGACTTGGGAGGGTTTGATTGGCTGCTCAGGTTTGAAAGGGGGTGGTTATAGGCTGGGCTTTGAACTAAATGATAAAGGCTATAGTCTAGGATTGGGAATATAAAATATTATATATATATATATATATATATATATATTTGTGTGTGTGTGTCATTCCTAATCTGGGCTTGAAGTATTAGGCCCAAGCCTGGTACTGAAAATTGCGGGCTGGGCCTGGGCTGGACCAGAACACAACCTAGTCTCGTGTCTGGAATTTCTGGTCTGGGCCAGGCTGAAATGATCACCCCTATTTGAAGTCATCTTACTCATGTTTTACACTTCTACTTTGGCTTTTATATTGCAATAAATATAGTTGCAATATAGAAATATAATAAAAGAAAGAAAAAAAATACAAGTATCATTACATAATACATGCATATATACATATATTTGTAAAACAATAATTCCGTTTGGTTTGAGGTGGGAATCAGAATCCGAATAATCTAGTCCCATAACCTGTTTGGTTCAAACGGGAATAGAATCAGAATTGGAATAAACTGAAATGGAATGGCCCATTCCCTCAAATAAATGAATGCCATTCACCAGGAATGGAAATGGGATTTTGATTCCATCCTACCAAACAGTTGGAATCAATGATCGGCTTGGGCCTATGTACATAGGATAAATATATCATGAGAAGCCGACTTGACTCGGCTTTAAGTTAAGACTTAGTTTAGGTTTAGTTGAAGTTGGGGTTAGGTTCAAGGATAATTTTTCAAGGTGAGAATTAATGATCGAAGTTACCATAAAATGGTTTCTACCTAACAAAGCACCCGGAAATCCACATCATCAAGATGAAAGTTTACCATATAACATCATTTGTTGAGTTGTATTAAAACAAATTTCCTAAGGCCTCGTTTAGTTCGTTTGTGGGAATAGGGGTCTAGAATCGGAACCGGAATGGGCTATTCCGATTCCAACTGTTTGGTTGGGTGGAATCGGTATTCCATTCCCATTTCTGCTGGAATTACATTTCTCCATTTGAGGGAATAGCCATTCTCTACCTTTCCATTGGGAATGAAATCTTATTCCTACTTATTCCTATTTATATTTCCGTTCCTGTCTGAACCAAACCGACTATGAGAATAGATCACTCCAATTCCAATTCTGATTACAAATCAAATAAACCCTAATTTCAATAACATCTAATTACAAAAATGTTTTGAATTGGATAATAATTCAACAGTGGATATGATTTTAAATAGAACAAATTGATGAAACAAGATTCATGTAAGTGACCCATATAGTTGGGATAAGATAATGATGATGAAGATGATGAATGTTTTGAGTTGGATGATGACTTTGTTAATGTAGAAGAGGTTCATTTAATGGTGGATTTTAATCAATTACTTTTAAATTGTAGTTTCTTTTCCAAATGAACCAAAGGTTTTTGTGGGTGTAGCTTTTTAGTGCATGTATAAAGAATGCTATATACTATCCAAAGTCGATGTTATTCTATTTTTAGTGCATTGCACCTGTTTAAAAACTGATTAAAAACTTAAAATGATTTAAAGAATGATAAAGTTGATTGAAAATTGTAAGTAATTAAAAATTAATAAAATGGTTAAAAATTAAAAAAAATATTAAAATATAATAAATGACTAAAAAATCAATAACACCACCAAATAACAATTTAAAAATAATAAACTGATTAACAAAATAACGAAATGATTAAAAAATATTAAAACTAATTGAAAATTAATACATGATAAAAAATAAACAAAATCATTATAATGATTTGTTTTATTAATTTTCAATTGATCTTATTATTTTTAGTCATTTTATTCAATTTAAAATGTTTAATTATTTCCTACTCATTTTCACTTTTTTTTATCAATTTATTATTTCTAATAACTTTTTAATGATGTTAATTTTTTTAATCATCTAGCAATTAACAAAGTGGTTTTGTTAATTTTCTTCATTTTCTCATTTTTTATTTATTTTTATTCACATCATTAATCTTAATCAATTGTTAAAATTCTTAATTATTTTATTTCATTTTTAATGATTTATTATTATTTTTTATTTATTTCTATTAGTATTTTTAAAATTACAAACAAGACAATGAAAAAATGGGGATTGAATTATAAAATCAATATGAGTAATAACAATAGTCATTATTGCGTTAATGGGGTTGGTGCAAACAAACGCTCTGATCAGCGGGAACAAAGTGGATCGTTTTTGAAAAGTCCCTATTTGTGGTGGCTGAGCGATTTGATCACGTTTAGATGATTCCCAGGTTTGGTCTTTTCTATCAATAATACAGAAGAAATGTCCTCTTATCCTTGTTTCCATATATAAAAGAGCTGTTTTTGATTGAGCCCAACAACGGATAAAGAATATTCTTAGACCACCTTTAACACAATAATGAGTTCTACTGATTGATATATGTATATGGCTACTTGGTTGAGTGATCTGAACGCTTTTGTCGTTCAATTCATCTTTTGAGTTGTACTTATGTCCAATGCCAAGAGGGCTGGGGCTGAAAGATTTTCTCAGTTTGATCATGTCTTCACTATTGCAAACAGCTTATCAAATTACTCTCTGAGAATCCAAAACCTTGCTGCATTGCCAAGGCTGGTTCAGGGCTTGCTTTGTCCTTGCTTTTGCCTTTTGTTTACCTTTTGCCCCATAAAGATTTTGGAATGATAAAGAGTTGGCTACCCTTTTCTCCTTTTTCTTCTCTCTCTCTCTCTCTGCAACTATTTGCATGGTTCATTGTTTCTTACGATAACTAATAACTTACTTCTCTGTCTTGTATGGCAGTGCAGTACTTTTTTCTAGGACCCAGTAGTTGATCGTTCGATCAGTGTGCCGCTTTCATGTTTGTGGAAATGCCTGAGCATTCGAACTGTGAGATAACTGAAGGAGAAGAAAAAGAGAGACCATTTAATTTGTCACGTAAAGCCAGCGCCATTGGAATTTGGAGTCCATTGATGGAGGTTTGAAGTTCATAAATTCATATACTCCATGGATTATTCATGGACGCTTCAATAAAGCATTTTATTTCACATAAAATGATTTTTTTTAATATATATAATGAATAGAATCTTTTTTAATTTAGAAAACATCAGTAAATAATAATGTATCTAGAGAGCTTTTGGAGGTACATAATGTGAACATAAAAAAAAATGAATTGCTTTAATAATTTATGCTTTTCTATGGACATGACTGTAAGTCCGTCTTTTCTTCTTGTCAGGCTGGATTCTTGGACTTTTCAGATTCTGATTCCTGTATTTATGTTCGTGCAATATTTGCTACTCCATCATTATTAGAATTTGGTAATAAATTAAAGGCTTTTTCATTGATGGAAGCTGGGAGCTGAAAGGAGCTTCAAAATTTGGCCCAATTTTGTCCATTTCCACTGATCAATAATGGAGA